TGAGTTTGATTATGCAAAGTTATATTTGCCAGCATCATTCTCTTTGGATCTTCATTTTTTTTTTCACACTCAGAATGTCTTTGAGGAGGCTTCTTAGACATGTAGGACTTTGTACACTGCTGTAAAACACTGAATTTACAGAAATTTCAGCTTCGAAAATTTAGTAGAATTTCACATTAGATTCAATACTTTTACCTTTTCTTTAAAAACCTCACAACCCATTATCACTAAAAATGGCACGATAATGCAGCCAAAAAACAACGCAGCCATCACGAAAATGCATGGCACGATCATGTAAACACACATGTTATATTGCAACCATTGTGTGTTGGGAACTTGGGATATATACTTCCTCCGTTTTCTTTTAGATGCAACACACCCTTTAACGCGGTAATTAAAAAAGGTGGGATTTACATGATATAATAAACTTTAAAATAGGATGAGTGGTTGTTATGAGTGTAATTTAGTGGGTCATGTGCTTTAAATAAGGAAAATAGTATAGTTTTTTATTAAAGTAACTTTCCTTTTATAATTTGTTGCAAGTATTGTGACATTTCCTTTTTAGGGAAGTGTTACAAGTAAAAGAAAATGGAGGAAGTATATATATAGCATGAAAAGGACCATAAGGTACTGCATAAGCGCATACCCTAACTTTTGATAATAAAGCATGACAAAATGAGTGACATTCATCTTCAGGCATGACATAACTCAACACGATGGCCACACGGGTTTGGTTCGTGCACTCGTGCTTAGCCTACACTTTTTGATGCCAATTTTAAGACGTGGGCTGAGCATAAGGCTCAACACGAATTAATCATTAGTTTTTTCCCAGAGAAATTGTTGAATTTTTCTGTTACTAACTACTAATACGAAGTATGTCATATACTCATATCACATACAAGTATTATGTTTGGAACTCAACTAAAACATCCAAAGCTTTTTCTCTCTCCTAATCTATGGCTTCTTCAATTCAACTTTCTCACATAACCTCTTCTCTAACTACCTTACCAAACTACCAAATGTTGAAAAATACCCATTTTAACTTTCCTCCCAAAACCTCTAAACTTGAGACAAACTCCATTAATTCATCATCATTAAAACAAATTTGCAAACAGGGTAATTTAAAAGAAGCATTTCAATCACTTACCAATTATTTGTCTCACCAAAATGAAGCCCATTTATCTCCTGATGAAGCTTATTCATCAGTTCTTGAGCTTTGTGCAGAGAAGAAGGCTGTGAGAGAAGGGAAACAGATTCATAACCATGTCATAAAATCAAATGGGCATGGAAATTCTGTGTTTTTGAGAACTAAGCTTGTGTTTTTGTATGGGAAATGTGGGGCGGTGTTTGATGCACAGAAGGTGTTCGATGAAATGCCCCAAAGAACTATTTTCTCTTGGAATGCTATGCTTGGTGCTTATGTTTCCAATGGGAAGCCTTGGGAAGCACTTGAATTGTACCGGGCAATGCGGGTTTTTGGGGTGAATGTTGATGCTTGCACTTTCCCTTGTGTACTTAAAGCTTGTGGATTGATAAAGGACATAAGATTAGGGACTGAAATTCATGGATATGCAGTGAAATCTGGGTGTGATTCCAATGGTTTTGTTGTAAATGCCCTTGTGAGTATGTATGCTAAATGTGAGGATACTGTTGGTGCAAGGCAATTATTTGACAGGATTCAAGTAAAAGATGATGTTGTATTGTGGAATTCAATCATTTCAGCATATTCTGCGAGTGGGAAGCATATGGAAGCGTTAATGTTGTTCAGAGAAATGGAGAAGGCGGGTGTTAGCATGAATAGTTATACTTATGTTTGTGCACTTCAAGCATGTGAGGAGCCATTTAAGAGATTAGGGATGGAGATTCATGCTGCGATTTTGAAGTCGAATGATAAAATGCATCTATATGTGGCCAATGCTTTGCTTGTTATGTATGCTAGATGTGGTAGAATGAGGGAAGCAGCTCAAATCTTTCATAAAATGACAGATAAGGATAGCATATCTTGGAATTCATTGCTCTCAGGTTTCGTGCAAAATGGTCTATATAGTGAGGCTCTCCAGTTCTTTCATGAAACACTGGCAGCAGGGCAGAGAGCTGATCAGGTCTCTTTGATAAGTATCCTTGGAACTTCTGGAAGGTTAAAGAATTTGCTGAATGGGATGGAAGCTCATGCCTATGCTTTAAAAAATGGATTAGATGCGGACATTCAAGTGGCGAACTCCTTAATTGATATGTATTCCAAATGTTGTCACATAAAATTTATGGAATGTGTTTTTAGAAGCATGGTCAGTAGAGATGTTATTTCTTGGACTACAGTTATTGCTGGCTATGCTCAGAACAATTATCATGCTAAAGCCTTGGATGTGTTCCGAGAAGTACAGGCTGAAGGGGTGGAAATCGATGCCATGATGATTGGAAGTGTCCTCCTTGCTTGCACTTCACTGCGACTGCTTAATCATGTCAAAGAGACACATGGCTATATCTTGAGAAAGGGACTCTCTGATTTGGTGTTGAATAATACGCTTGTAGATGCGTATGGGGAATGCAACAATATAGAATTGGCCTCTCGTATGTTTAAGTTGATTGAAAACAAAGATGTTGTGTCTTGGACTAGCATGATTTCAGCTTATGTTGATAATGGACTAGGAGATGAAGCTCTTAGCCTTTTCTGTTTGATGAAAGAAGATGGAATTGAACCAGATTCTGTTACATTAATCAGCTTGCTCTCAGCTGCAGCTAGTCTCTCTGCCTTAAAGAAAGGAAAAGAAGTCCATGGATTCTTAATCAAGCAAGGTTTCCTTCTAGAGGGATCTGTTGTTAGCTCTCTTGTTGATATGTATGCACGATGTGGAACATTGGAGAACTCATTTAAGGTGTTTAATCTTGTCAAGGATAAGGATAAGGTTCTATGGACCTGTATGATCCATGCGAGTGGAATGCATGGTCGTGGAAAGGAGGCCACAGAGTTATTTAACAGGATGGAGATGGAAAATATTCAACCAGATCATGTTACATTTTTGGCCCTTCTTTATGCATGTAGCCACTCAGGAATGATTGATGAAGGTAAAAAGTATCTGGATATTATGAAAGATAACTATAAGTTAGAGCCATGGCCTGAACATTATGCCTGCGTGGTTGACCTCCTAGGCCGAGCAAACCGTCTAAAAGAGGCATATCAGTTTGTGAAAAGCATGCCTGTGGAGCCTGGCGCTGTTGTTTGGTGTGCTCTTCTTGGGGCTTGCCATGTTCACTCCAATAAGGAATTAGGGGATATTGCTGCAGGAAAGTTGTTGGAATCAGAACCAGGGAATCCAGGAAATTATGTTTTAGTTTCCAATGTCTTTGCTGCAACTGGAAGGTGGGATGATGTTGAGTTAGTACGAGGGAGAATGAAGGAAAGAGGATTGAAGAAAAATCCAGCTTGCAGTTGGATAGAGATGAGAGATAAAGTACATAGTTTCATGGTGAGGGACAAGACCCACCCTCAGAGTGACCAAATATATGAAAAATTAGCCGAAATTATAGAGACAGTCAAAAGGGAAGGAAATTACACTGCTCAAACTAAGTATGTTTTGCATAATGTTGATGAGGAAGAGAAAACAAAGATGCTTTATGGTCATAGTGAGAGGTTGGCAATCGCGTATGCACTCCTTGAATCTCCCAAGGGAGCCCCTATTCGAGTGACAAAAAACCTTCGCGTATGTGGTGACTGTCATGTTTTCATCAAGTTAGTATCTGACTTCTTTGACAGGGAGATCATCGTAAGGGATACCAGCAGATTTCACCATTTTCGCCATGGAAGTTGTTCTTGTGGTGATTTCTGGTGATAGTGTGTCTGACCACATATCTTAGTACATTGCATAGTGTTAGAGCTACTATCATTGATGCCTGGCAGTAGCTGCGTTCTGTTAGAAATTGATTGTTCGCCTGTATATTACAGGTTGGCGCGAGAGCCTAAAACTCAATACTAAAGCTCCCTTACCTAGCTTGCAAAATAATTAGATAAGGTGCTGCTGGGAAGACGGCTCGGTCCAGTCCTATGTAATTGTAAATGTGCTGATCAATGGAAGAAGGATGAATTCATGATTGTTGTTGTTTGATAGACAAGCACCGAAAAATTAAGGTAATCACTTCAGGTTGATGTACATTATAATTTCTGCAAATGTCTGTAATGATATTTTTGTCAATAATATACCATTGTAGATTTGTAGATTGACATTTCTTTGCAAAACTATTGGCTTCTTGCTTACAAAATGTTTTCTAATGAAGAAACTGAATCTGAATCTTGTTATTAAAAAAATTACTCGTGTTAGTATATTTCTTTGGCAACCAGAATAATATTCCAATATGCTCTTAATTAACTGGAGTAAATTTGAAATTAAGAAAGGAGTGTAAATAGTAGTATGATACTAAGAGTCTAAGATGACTTTTCACCCCTTTTAGTTGTGTAATTGTTAAAAAATCGGCCTACAACGTTCATCATAGTCTACAATTCATACATTAGACTTGTTTGTTGATACTACCTCCGGTTCTTATTAATCAATAAAGGGGTATTATATAAGCGATTTAAAATATTCTTTTGTTACGAGTAACGTGAACTGAAGGTATTACTTTACTACCAAAGTTTATACACTGTTCTTTCAAAAAAAAAGTTTATACACTGAACCTCATACTATCATTAATTCATTATACATGTCAGATTTGTGCATCTGACAAACTAATGATATTAAATTCATCGGGACTTTACCCAATTATAAAAAAAGGACAAATACCAAGATTTATTGTGAAATTATAAAATACAGTAAAATACTGAGCATCAAAACAGTAGCAGCCTTTTTTTATTACAGCAGGAAAAAAGAACCAATAACAAATGAACAAATGTCAAAATTACTCTACAATTTACACGTGTCTCATCACATCTAATCCTAAGAAGATCTCAACCCTCCATTTGATTGTGTGCAATTTGAGTGGAAAATATCTATCTGGAAACTACTAGTAATCCAATTTCATCTTCTTTAGATTTATAGAAAAGAATTGCTGAGAACAGGAAAATACCCATTTGATCAAATCATTAAAAGGTTGCAGAAAAAATTAAAGAAAATTTGAAGAAATATAGGAGAGAGAAAATGCTAGCAGTGTTCAACAAGGAAGTAGCTAAGTGCCCAGAAGAGCTGAAGAATGCTGATTCTTTGGGAAATTTAAAGAAAGATGATTTGATTCAACATTTTTCTTCAATTCATCCTGATGCTCTTTCTGTTAATCTTGGACTTTCTGGGTTTCTTGCCTTTTCCTCTGATAAGCAAAACCCTCTCTTACCCAGGTATTAAACTCCCCTTTAAATTTCTGGGTTCTTTTTTTTTTTTTGAATGGATTTTGAATTATTTGTATGTGGGTGTGTTATTAAGCAATTTGGAAATCTGGGTTGAAGTTAGTTTCTTCAAATTTATTGGATTTTAAGTGGGTTTTAATAGTTGCTTTAATGAAAAATGGAAGGAATTTGATTGTTGTTGGACTAGTTCTTGACTTCTTGGATATGACATTTGATTATATAGTTTGATTAAAGTTCAAAATATACATACCATGTATGTATAGATCTTTTTAAGTGATGTTAATTCTGGTCAATGATTGGAGCATATGATATGAAAAGGTGGTTTGGTGATCAATCTTAAATGCTTTACCCCACTTTTAGATTCACGGGCCATCTTATTATGTAAGCATTTGGATCATTTTATTGTGATTTCTAAATTTGATCAGCAAGTAGAAGAAGTAGGCTGCTTCTTTGCTTAGAAAAATTCTAAGCTATATGTTATTTAAAGTCGATTCCAAGAAGCAAGATCGAATCAGTATTAATCGGGAATGTTTGACCTTTTTAAGAATCATTTCAATCTAGAGGGTTGGAAGTCAACCTAGGCTTTGATATTTGTAATACTAGTGATGAATATAATCAATATATTAAGTCATGGTATAGGAATTTGCCCACCAAGTGGACCTCTGACTTCGTTTGCTTGTAATCTTAATTGGTATGTTAGGATATATTGATTTCAGTCAACTTCTGGATCCTAGCTATCATGAATTATGTTCCTGTCTCGTGTTATTGTGATTCGGAGTAGATAAGCTTCCCTGTGTGTTAATGTTGGCCCTTTAGGCTAATTATGCGAGCTGATGAGCTTATTGATACCAATTTCTGAACATTTTACTGCAGGCTTTTTGCTGTTGTGGATGACATATACTGCTTGTTTCATGGGCACATTGAGAACATAGCTTCGCTAAAACAGTTGTATGGATTGACTAAAACTGCAAATGAGGTGAGCATCATCATAGAGGCTTATCGTGCCATGAGGGATCGGAGCAGCAATCCTGCTGATCATGCATTGAGAAACATTGATGGAAAGTTTGCATTTGTCATTTATGACAGTTCGACAAAGAGAACCTTCGTTTCTGTGGTAAGTGAATAGAGCAGGGCTCCCTGCTTTCATTGTAAAAGGATATTATAACTTTATGCTTGCTTATATGTGAGTAATATTTTCTGTAGAACCTTTGTTCTGTATTGCATACTCATATATACAAGTATATTATAGGTTTAATGATGTCAACCCTTTTGGTATTTTAGGACAATGAAGGAAGTGTCCCTCTCTTCTGGGGAACGGATTCTGAAGATCACCTTGTTCTCTCTGACATTGCTGAGATTATGCAGAAAGCCTGTGGGAAATCATTTGCTCCATTTCCAAAAGGTATTATCTTAAGCACTACCATATTAATTAACTTCCAGAGTATCATAGGATACATGCACTTACACTCTATTGCTATTGACTTACACTCTATTCTGCTGTTTGTACCATTCCCACCTCCTTACCTTAGAAACACAAAAAAGAACAGAATTTATAATTTCTTTCTAGGTAATACAGAAAATTTGATCAGAGAAAACTCTCTTGGTAAAAACCAAATAATTTACTCTTTTCTATCCCTGTTAACTAATTCCATATATAGCCAGTAGCCAGTTTTCTCCAGAATACAGTAGGTATGGAAAGACAGGATACTACTTGTCGGTTTTATGTGTATGGTGATTGAGGTTAAGCTTTGAAAATTATCCCTCTAATTAGAAATGATACTGTAATCATGGATGAGTTTTTGAAAGCTCTATATCATCAAAACTCAAATCGAGTGAGTTCATCTCAAGTCTGAACTAGACTTGTATAGCTCGAGAGAAGCTATGTATATTCTACCTAATATGCAACTAACATGCATCCATGTATTGGCTGATCTCGAATCAATCCTAGTTGAGTTCAAGCCATGTTTGTGCCGAACTCAATTGAATCCTAAACGTAGAGGTTTTGAGTCCAAATAAACCTCACATTTTTTCCATGAGTTTTTACTTGAGCTGAGCCAAACCCAAGCTCTGCTCACATCATTATCACCTCTACATGTATCCATCCATTGCTTTACTCCTATGGTGCAATTTGTGACTGTGTATTGTTGTATTTTCTTAATCAGGATGCTACTTTACATCGTCTGGTGGCCTAAAAAGTTATGAACATCCACTGAAAGTGCTAAAGGCAGTCCCATGGGTTGATAGCTCAGGCGAAACATGTGGATCAACCTTCGAGGTGACCGAGGAGACTAAGAAGGAGAACAAGCAGCTGGGAATCAAAGGAGGAATGCCACGAGTTGGCAGTGATGCTGATTGGTCGACAAAAATATGAAAATGCAACAAATCATCTGTTATAATGCCTTCTATGCAATGTCTTTATCATTGTCCTTCTAAACTAACTTCTATTACTGATGCCCCAAGTGGGTTTGGCTTCATGGATTTTACATAAAATTGCCTTATTGAATTGGCATGTGAGTTTTATCTCAAAATTAGTACATAAAAATGATGTTGAATATATCCAAATTTTTGTATATTTCGTCCATATAGTATATTGTCATACATAGTCTTGTTTATTGTGGTTGATTGATAATGTGCTGAAATGTGAAAGCTGGTTGTACATGAGTATATGACTATACGACTGAGGCAGCTTCTCTGAATGACATTTTCGTGTAAGAGTTTTTATTTTCAAGGTAAAAATTTATGTTGTTTAAGATTGACAATCCTCTTGGGAGAGATACAATGAATAAATTGCCAGCTCTCAATTTCTTTCATTAGGCTTGCCAACTCAAGGACGATTGATTTATTGATCTCTATGTTGAAAATCTAAGGTGATAAAAAATTGGACCAGGTCAAGTTTATGCATAAAATTTTGTGTCCAAACTCGCAAATAGACTTGGGTTTATTGGGTTTTTTTCGAGCCGGACTCAAATTTAAAGCAACGATGTGTCCAAACCCGCACTTTTTTTTGGGCCTAGCTCGATTGGGCTATCTGGTCAAGCCATAAATTATTATCATCTCTAAAACATAACTATATTGGTGACTTTTGATTAAAAATTGAGATTACATTTAATGTTGAACACAACTTTTTTTAGATTATGTAATATGATTCGGAACATTATATATGCGAAATAAATTTTCTTTATCTTGTCTTTATGAAACAAAATGGTTGGTGGAGGCATAGACCAACAGGATTTTTTTTGCTTTAATTCACTATTAACTTTGTCATCATGAAATTATAATAGTGAAAATCTAGTTATTGATACACTTGGAAAGATTTCATGTTGTAACATTAGCCTATTGTTATAGTCCACTTTTGTCAAGTTAATAGAGTTGCTAACTACTTTGTATGTATCTATTTTGCAATCATTGCCCATCAAATTTCTAAATCATATAAAATTTAGCAAAGAATAATACTATTTGAGCTGTTTTAGTACTTGAAATTTTTTATTATCAACTCTTCTAGATGTTAATTGACACTTTAAAACTTGTTGGAAGCATGAATCCATAATAATGATAGGATTATATTGTAGAGGAGATATAAAAACCAGGTGTTAACAAAGCATTAATCCATGTGTAATTGTAATAAGAAATTAAATAACAAATGGAATCCTAGAATAACACACATAAATCAGAATCAAAGCACCCAAATAACTTTTCCTACTCTTTTTGGTTGCAAAAAGCATTAAGATACAAAGATTCCTTGCCAAATTTGTTAGGTCACTTTGGCTTGTTATATCCACAATCCAAACCCTTTAATTTGTACCCCTTCAATAGTAATGCAGTCCATTTAGCCGAAGCTAAGGGTCCGCATAGCCCGGCCGGGTTATCCGGTCCAAATAAGATGGGCATGGACATGAAACTTTCCAAATTAGTATAGGTTTGGCTATCATATTGGCTCCAATCGCTCCATTTTTTCCTTAAACTATGCTTAATATTGAATCTTGTGCGTAGTATATGTATATTACTATGAGATCATCTACTATACTATTGTGTCCAATACTATAGAACATATCCTTTGTTTCATTGTGGTCGCTACTCACAAAAGTAGTGCGATGATGGATAATCATGCAATAATAATAGATGAATCAATAAAAAGATTAATATACATTATACACTATGTGGAATCTTAGCTTGGTGCGTTTACAAGAATTACAACCACATATATACACTAATATAGTAGGATAAAATTAATTAACACGTAAAGTTTGAACTTTCTACAACCAATGACATATTGACATGGTTGCATCGAAGGTTTGAGATTGTGTCCAAAATAGTGAAATAAAGTTTTGATATGTACCATGACAAAAACAACCAAAGTTGTACTCTATCTACTACATCCAATAGTATGCATTACATTCTTATTAAAACATAAAGTTTTATATACGAAGTATGAAGTATTTATTATCGGCTATGAAAAGTTATATACGTTTTTAATTGTCCATTATGACGTTATCCAATAGGTGTTCTCATTTGATCACGGACATGCATGAGATAAACACAAGTAGTAGAGGTTGGGAGACGGATAGAGGAAAAGATAGCAATTGATCAATGCGATGAACAAAAAGGCATTATATATATATATATATATATATATATATATATATATATATATATATATATATATATATATATATATATATATATATATATATATATATATATATATTATTGTGAATGAAATTTTTTTGAGGAAATAAAACCGTCATATTTCTATGAATAAGATACAAAATTGTAGTAGGCTCTCATTTAAATAAATAATCAAGACCGCGATGATTATGGCGATGGATTAGCTTAAAGTAGCATCATGATATTTGGACCAATAATAAATAAATTACCTACACTTTGTTAATGGAATAAATAAATGCAACCTAAAGACAATACTAACGCTAATAGAGTTAATTAGGTTAGTTGTTAAAAAAGGTTAATTAAGGCATGTTCTCTTCAGCTTATTTTCAGTCCAGTCCAGTTCAGCTTAGCTCCAATCAGTTCAATTCAGCCCAACTCCTAATTTTATTCACTTATAAAATATTCCGCTCAGTTCAATTTAGTTCAGCTCTATTAAGTTCAGTTCAGTTCAGTTCAATAAATCAAAACAAACCCTTAGTTAATTAATGTGGAACCTTTTCCTTGCATGGCTATCTAGCTACTTCACAAATCAACAACAAACGTTAGACAATAAGATGCTCTATATTATCGTGACAAATAATAATTTTTTTTGTAAACAATAATATAATTAGTAACCTAATCTTGTCCCCTAAGATTTAATTAAATTAGAAAATATACATTGTGATCTGAGACATGATCCGTCTCTCACTAGGCGACATTTGCATGATTCTCCATGACATAATAAACAAGCATTATCCTTTTTAATATAAAGTTTGTAATTTATTTATAATTACGAGTTTATAATTAGTCGCTACATAAAAAGATTCAATGAGTACCCTTTTTCCACTTTTCTTTTTTGCACTTTTTTCTGTTCTTATATTCTCTAGCTAAGATGTTGACCAAAAAGGAAAAAGAAAATAAAATGTAAATAAAATTTGTTGCTAAGATACCCATGATTCCATCTTCAACAACCAAAGTTCAAAGTTCACGTTTGCGCAGCCAACAAAAAAAAATTTCTTTTTCAATCCCAAATTAATGCAAACAAATTAATGCAGCAATTAAATTTAAATCATTGTTAAGTACCAATTGAGTGATGACTTGTTTATATTTGTATCCGAGTGACTATAGTGAAAATTCTATGGTAATCATCCTTAAATTAAAAGGACTACTATTATACTAATTTTTTATTAGCTGAATTTTAATTTATTTTTTAGATTAAAATTAGTTATAAATATTTTTCCTTATCTTTTTTTTGAAACAATATTTTTCCTTATTTAATCTCAAATCTTAAATATGTTTTCAGGACGACTACACAAGTTATTTAGCTTTTGTTAGTCGAGTAGGACTGTAGGAGTGACATGTATGGTATATTTACACGTATTATTATTCTCTTAAATTAAAATGTTTGAGGAGTGAGTGAATGAGTGTTGTTTGGAATCATCAATGGCTTATGCTCTTCTTTTATTGTCGATCTCAAAATTTAAAAAAATAAATAAAATCCCTGCTTTTCCACCTCCATTCTTCAACAACTAGACAAAATACTAAAATAGCATAAAGTCATACACTCTTTGTTACTTCAATTCGTAGAATACACGTAGTAAATGTTCAAGCATAAAAGAGAAAGTTGTGTTATGAAAATAATCGTTGTGAAAATAATCCAAAGTAATGCAAATTATAACATATACAAGTATATATTTACTTTAGTAACATATATATATATATATATATATATATATATATATATATATATATATATATATATATATATATATATATATTGATCATTCTGGTTCATACAAAATTTAATGATGACAATAATATTGATCAAGTAACCCCTGTAATACTGATCGAGTAATAACCTTTCTAACACTGACCAAGTAACCTCTATTACACTAACGAAATAATTTGTGGCCAGCCACATATAAGAATTTAAAATAAAAGCTAGCTTGAAATATGTTCTTCTCTTCGAGGTGCCTTCATTGTTGTTGAAACCCTCATGCATCAATGGCGAAATTAAACCTACTAAAACAAACTATTTAACCTTTGTTATTGTTCATTGTCGTCATCTCAAGACATTGTTGAAACTCAGTCCAAATTCTTGACATGGAAATCTTGTATATATATACCTATGTATGAGACTTGACAATTGATGAACAAATTGCAAAAACAATAACCAAAAGAATAATAAGTGAAAAAAAAAATCATTCTAATAAAATTTTACTCCGTAATTAATATGTACGGGTAATTACTCATATATTACATAAAGATAAGGAGCATGTAAGAGGGTATAATTTTCCGGAGACTACTGGACAAGAAGGATTCAAACTCACAATCCAATTTTATTTTTTTATTTTTTTTACATTGGAAAAAGCATTATTATATTAATTATAAAATAAATTACGCACTAAAACATTAGGGGTAGCTTTTTGCATATTGAAAAATGAGAATATGCATCAATAATTACTTATGTACAAATTTATGAAGATTAAGAAAATAAAAGACCACTCTAATTAATTTGCTCATTTGTATCATATGCATGCAATTTACTAAATAAATTATGAAAATTATGAAGAGCAAAGTAATAAGTAAGCACGTACCAATAATTAAATAAACTTAATTAGTTCAATCCAATGATTTCTTCATTGTTGTTTTTCGTGATCCCATCAAAAGATGAAGCTACCAACATGATCTAATCTTTCCTTAATATAAAGTTGTTGATGATGATTAATTGAAAGATTAATCAGAATAAAAGGCAAGTTGAGATCATGCTGGCAGCTTCATCAACTAGTGGTGCACGTCAATGTACAATATAATTTCCCAATGAAACTAAGAAAATAATAATAAGTGGAAAAAAAATAGAAAAAAAAAATGAGAACAAAGCTTATTTAATGAACATAGGATATAATGGTAGAGAAAGAAGTGAAGAAACAATGGGGTATTTAAAGAGGGGCCAAAGGAGAGAGGTTTATGGGAAAATGTAAATATAATGATATATATCATAGTATATAAAATATAGTACTAATAATAACTAATATTCATTTCATATCATATGATTAGGAGCCATATGATATTACAGATGGATGTGGCCTAAAGTGAGACACATTGAATATAATCACACCCAAGCCACATCAATCTATGAAAATTATTTTTTTCATATTTTTTAATAATTTTTTTAAAAAATTGTTTTTGAAATTTTCTACCTATATATCTAGGGCTTTGTCAACATTATACTTTTATTTAGCATATTCTCTCTTCTTTCCTTTCTATCTCAAGAAGGGCAATGCCTTTTTCTTTGCTTTTCTTTTTATTTTTTATTCTATTTTAGTTTTTTGAAGATTCAATAGAAGCCATGGTTTGATGTGTATATATCAAAATATAGAAACATCAAGTATGTGCTTGCATCGGCTAATAAGGAGTTGTACGTATTTGTTCTAGATTAATCAAGGTCTTAGCCGGTAAGGATTGGGGTTGTGTATGTTCTAAACTAATTAAGATCGCGGTTAGTTAAAACTTGAATGCAATAATAACAAGCACTTGGATGGGTAGTTTGATTCTAACCTAATCAAGGTTTTGCTTTGATTTACAATTAAGTATAGTGTAGTTTGAAGTACCCTAAATATACACTAGGTCTTTTTTTTTTTCTTTTTTTTGTGCAACTATATACCATCATTAATCTTATTACCGGTTGTAATAAAGTATAGTGCAAGCTCTTATTATAGGGTATCATCAATAATTTGTCACGATATAGATTACTAATTATTCATTTTAGACAAGTTTTAGACAATAATACAACATAAGTCTATTCAACTACATACTAATTCAACAAATTAATTTATCAAATAGGACCATTTACATCACTTCATCATATCAATTCAAACAAAAATATATATATAAACATTAACGTTAAAATCACTTTCAACTCCACCTCAATGGACTACAAATACCGACATTATCCCCCCTAAACTTTCGAAGAAATATAAAAAAGATTATTATTACAATTAAGTAATGTGATTTAGCTATACTAGGGGACCATAATTTTGTTAGTTGTAGAAGTAGGGTAAGGTATCTTAACATAACAACATGGTCATGTGATCGATCTCAATCCATCTCTATGCAAGAGTCGTTTTCTTTTCTTTTCTTTTTCTTTTTTAATTCTTTAATTAGTTAATTTTTAAAAAATTTAAAAATATAATTTTAATTTTGTCCTTAGATAGATGGGTAGTCTTTTTTTTTTTTTTTTCTTTATTAGCATGCAATGCCAATTGTCGGAGGCATGCTTTCTTTAGCATCTAATTGGTTAACATAGATTTACATAAAAAAGGCAAGTGTTTAAGAGACAAGAACAATGGGTTAAGTGACACATGGATTGGGACAACAATATATATATATATATATTATAATTAATTTAATACATAAAATTAATGAATAAATCAAAGTGAACTGTCAAAAGGGTAATTAAATTTTTAATTAATTAATTAAAAATTAATTAAGAGAGTTCTCTGATAAAGTTAGTAAATTTTATGCTTTATTATCTTACTTTTATATGTTTACAATAAAAAAAAAAAAATGTTACATATATAGAGCTTTTGTTTTGATCCCTTTGGTGGGTTTTGGGCAGATGGAACCAATAGATGCATGCATAGTCATAAAAAATAAGTTCCCCCACAAATCAAAGTATCAAAAAAGTGGAAAGATTGAAGAGTTAGGACAAGAAAAAGGTTCTCCAAGTTATTAGCTTCAAATGGCGCATGCACACATCATAAGATTGATTCACTTTGAGTGCATCCAAATTCCAAACAATGCAAGCATCTTTCTTATTCCTTCTTCAATTCATCCATCTCTCTTTCATTTATTTCTCAATTGTACCATTTTTTAACTTGTCACCCAAGATTTTGGCCCATATCCATTGTGTTTTAGAATCTTTGCCACTTTTGCATCAAGTGTTGTTGTATGATTATTGGTAATTAAGAAGGGGTTATATACTAATTGATGTAACTTATTGATGAGATAATGTGATGATAAGCATCGGATGTGATTTTTAACTTTTTATTATTGTTCATTGTTAGTTATTTGTATGTTTGTTTGAGTTTGCAACGTCGTCATCAAGTGTGTTCAGTTATTTGCATTGGTTGGTTGAGTCAATTATTTTTAAGTTCGTATTGGCTATTTACATTTTTTTTTCTCTCTTAAATTACAAGGGTGGGTTGAGATAAAGGTGGAGTTTCTTCTTCCAACGTACGATCTCTTAAACTCACTTGTACTACATATATAATTTGTTTGCCTAGTTTGCGCTATCTAGTCAGGCCAAGACCACGTACTTGATTGTTTAGTTTGATTAGGTTATAATTAGTTACTATTTGATCTAATAACTTATAATTTGTTTTGCTTAAATATCTTAAATTTGCTAATAAGTAGATGTCACCACCTTGAATTATTCTAAATATTCATCATAATTGCAATATAATACAATAAATAAGCTCATTTAAAAAAAAAAAAACCAATTTAGAAATTAAAACAATGAAATTTGTAGTAATACCTTTATACAACTTTTAACCTCCTCTTATTAGTATAAATAATATAATACAATAAGAATTCCACTTTAGTCCATTAGTTAGTTCTTTTCTTTTCTTTTTTTTTGGCAATTTTTTTTTCTTCTTTTTGCAATCTGAGAGCCCATTAATATATATACAAAAAATTCAAACACCAAAAGGAGGGAAGTGTATTCATTGAATTGAACCAAGTTTATGATGTTCTAACAACTTTTATGAATTGCAAATTATTTTCTTTTCTTTCTTAAAAGAGATTTCCAAAAAATTTCATGATGTTCAATTCTAGCTCTTTTCTATAGGTGGTGCTCACGTGACAAGTGACATAGGCACACATTGTACTAGAATTAGTAGAATATAATTAACAATTATACAATAATAATAGTTTAATTAAGGAGTAATTAAGCTCATGATTAGGAGGTAGCTGCCTCTCTCCGTACCAACAAGAGTATGTAGCATACTTTACCCAAACTGACAACTATTTGCCCTTCTACTAGGGGACTTGGGTCTCATCATTTTCTGATTTTTTACTGTTACAATTTGCAGATTGTTAGGGCAACGTACAATAACATTCAAAAATTAAGAATTAATATTGAAAAAGATAATCCAAAGCAAAATGTTGCAAGCAAATTTTTTAATAAATTAAATTAAATTACCCATTGGCTTAAATGAACCGAATAACAACACTATGAAACGAGTAAATTTTTTGAAATTGAGCAAAACAAATAATTACTCAAGGGTGTTGAATGAAAGGGTGCACCTAATGAAACACCTAGCTAGGTTCGATCATTTGAAAATTTCTACTCTAGATCTAAGAAATTTAATCTTGTTAGATGATTGACTTATGCAATAATACATATAAAACCTATTTAGAAACACATACATGGCATTACATCTCTTATATGCTAGCCGGAAAAAAACCTAAAGAACAATAAATAAAAACAATACATAACACTGAACGTCTTTTATGTTTTAATTTAAAGTTTCAATCACCAATTATTTTAACTAAACTAGCTAGCATGTACGACATTATAATTTGAAGCATGATACAACACAAAGACAAAAGACGAACCCATAAGCTCGCATACCGAGAAGAAGTCCATGACCATATCCATGTTCATATAAAGAATACTAATTAATGTACCACATCAACATAAGACACATTGAGAATCAGAAAGAAAGAAAGATATGCATATACTTACATTATTAAGCAGTATTTTCCAGCCTTTCTTAGCTTCCCTCAAACAAGGAAGGAGTGATGCTGTCACAGCATGACCTAGCAACAGCTAGCAATTACATACATACATACAATCATACATATATTATGCATATAAAATATATGTATAATTGTATACTATATAGTTTTAATGTGATGACAAACTAACTTGCTAACCATAGATAGATCATGCTGGCAGCTTCACTTGTTCCTTTTTTGAGGATAATTTCAACCACGTACTTGACAAACAAATTTAATCAACACCTCTTTAATTTAATTAGATCTCATCAGTTTAAATAATAATAATTTAATTGTATAGTTATATTTATATGGTACTAACTAGCAACAATATGTTTGTTGGAGACATCATCATAAAAGTACTAAAATTCATTTGAAAATATGTAAAAATATGCAACATACAAACACCCTTTGACTTTGTTTTTACATACATAGTTCTAGCTAGAATAATTATTAATTAATAGGTCTATGGAAAAGATTGGTGATTTAAAAAAAAAAACAAAAGACATGCATTATGGTATTCTCTGTGAAAACATCAACTTTACTTTAAAAGTCAAACGAAATAGAAAAAAATCCAGAAAAGTTTCGATGATGACAAACAAGAAAAACAAAATTGAATAGCCCAACAAAAAAATGAAAAAAAAAATTAAACAAAAAGCTTATAAAAAATATTTGGAAATTTAATATATGATCAAAAAACAAAGATAAATATTATATATATATATATTTTATTATTATTATTATTATTTTTTGGAAAACCTATTCATGTTAAGAAATGATAGATGTGAGGAGCAAATAAAATCCTTAATATAGAGGAAGGAGAACAGTGGAAATAAAGAGAGACAGCTCATAAGGAAATCAAAGGAGGAGGCAGGGAATTAAATCATACAATTCAAGTAGGTTTAATTATATGTTGGTAATTAATAAGTGTTGGAATAGGTTAAGGGTTAGTCTTTAATTAAAGTAGTAGTACTACTACACTATTGTATGTGTCATGTGTGTTATTATTTTAGGTATAAGCATACAACATTTGGCAGGTTATAAAGGATTTAGGTCAAAGTGTAGGGTGGCCTCAATAAGGTCGTCAGGCCAGTTGTGTTAAACGGTGTAGCTAGCTAGGTTAATACTCTTAATAGTCTTTCAGGTGCACGTATATTGTGCATAATTAGTTAATTACGTTGTCAGTATGTAGGTTCATCTAATTAAGTCAAAATTAGTTGAATTAATAAATAAATAAAACACGTAGTTGGTGTTTTCAAGACACCAACCATTATATAGTCCTTTTATTTTGAGTTATACTAAAAATTTCCTATGAACATTATTTCTATTG